GGAGGGAGGGAGGGAGGGAGAGACACCGCGGTCGTCAGGGGAGACCCCTTAATCCATTCCGGCTCTGCGTGGGCTCTCTTTCTCTCCCACGCGCCTCCATCAATCAATTGTGAGGGGCGAGCCCGACTCTGTCTCCGCCTTTTTTTGGAGCGCGGCGGCCGCAGCCACGCCGATTGCAAGACTTCTGCCGAGCATCGGGAGCGAGCAAAATGTCTTCTGGCATCGGTCCCCCCAAGAGCGGCTCCCCACTGAGGAAGCGGGCCAGCCTTCAGGCTCCCAGCGCAGGAGGTGAGCGTGCGTGGATTGCTCTGCGGCTTCGCAATGGCTGCTGTTCTCAGCGGGAGAAAGTGAGGATAGCTCGCCCGAGACAGAAATGAATTGTGATTGCTTCTTTCCCCTACTCATGCTCCCTTGATGCGGGGGAAATGGGGAAAGTAGGCGATCTGGATTCATTTTATTCATATTCCCGCAGGGTTTTCGATGATGTGCTTCTTACTGAAACAGGGAAGATGGTTGCTTCCTTGCTGGATGCTTAACAGTGCTTCTCAGTTTTAAAAATTCAGGAATAAGTTTTCCTGGTTCATTCTGGCATGCTCCCTGGTAACTTTGTGTGAGGTGGCAGCCCTAGAAAGAAGGAAAGGGAACAGACTGCTTGTTTGCAGCTGGAGGTATACATAATGTGTGTTGTCCCTTCATTCAATACACATGCGCCATTCTCTTTGTGTATACCGGCAGCTTTGCTGAACCTGGAGTACTCCAGGTCTGTTGGGACTGCAGTTCTTGGATTTCCTAGTGTTCTTATGCTAACTGGAATTTCTGGGAATTTGCTGTACTGGATGCCACAGAGAGATGCAAAATGGGCTGTTGAATTCCGCAGAGAGACCTGGTAGTTTCGCACAGTCCTCATCCTAATGACAGCTGTTTCTGTAATACAGACTAGAAGTCATTTGTATGAGCCTTCAGCAAATACATTCGGATACTGAAGATAAAGCTTCTGTGATGTAGTTACTTTTATGCATGCTTGGGCAGACTGCACAAAAATTATAGGATGTGCCAAGTAACATTTGCTGCCATAGTTGCTTCATACACCCTTGTCACTGTTGATTGCTCCCTGGGGAAGCTTTTCACCAGATGGGCTGGTTGAAGGAAGGATGCTCCCAATTATTTATTTAAAACTAATAACACCAGCAGAAATGTCTTCAATAGTTTTTCTTTTTTCTTTTTTCTTTTTTAAGATCCAGAGCTTCAGTTAAGCTAGGCCTGTCCAAAGTAAATGGTGAGGACTTGTTTTATATTGAAGGCTCAGGTCACTGAGATAACAATCAATATGGAGTTGCAGGTACTGTTGTTTTCTTTGTAATAAGCAAGCAGTCATAGCCAACTTGTATAAACCCACTGCATTGTGATGACACAATGATCTATAAGAACGGCTCTTCAGTGACTGTGCCTGCAAGGTGCCCACGTTCTCCTTTTCCCAGGTTGTGTAGCTGAGAAGCTGCTATTCACAAGTCGTCGTAAACTTACTGGAGGATCTGCAGGGTGCTTCTGCTGCAGTCTTTCTCAGATTCTGTGCATTCACAGACCACTAAATAAATGTTCAGAAAATGCAGGGACCACCCAGTTAGATTAAAAAAAAAAATCCTTCTCCTTATATTTTTGTCTTTAACAGTATGAACGTTTATATTGAACCTAAACATCTAGGAGTGAGTAGATCTCCAACCCAATGGAATAGCCTTTTTTTGTTTTTCATTATTGCATTTTCTGTTGGCATTTTCTTTTTTGGTTGCTTACGCGAGAACACAGTTCCACTTAGCACAGCACATATAGATTCATGACTGTACTGTAACTGTACTTGAGACCTGTTTACTTCTGCCAATGTTCTGAATTTTATAACTTGCTTTGCTACCAGCATTATCGCTTCAATGAAACAGGTTTTGGCCATTGATCCAATTTCATGAAGCAGCTTACAGCCAGTGAATGCAGAAGGTGGGAAGGAGTAAGTATGCTTCTTGTGTGACCAGTTGACTAGTGGTCAGTGTGAAAAGACTTTGGTGGACCACCTGGTGGAACCTTCATGGGCCATTGATGATCCACAAATCATTGTTTCAGAATTGCTGTTCTAATGGTACTAACCAGAAAACAGCTCCATAAAGAAACTGTGCCTGGGAGTACCATTGAGTAGAGGCAACATGGTAAACATTTTAAAAAATGTGGATAGCCATTTCCTAGCCAGGTGTAGAAAAGGTATTCCACATCTATTAAGTAAATGCCAGCTTAGCCAGTAAAGGAGGGGCAGTGAGAAAGAAACTCAAGATTGCCCTGCCTCAATTCTCTTTGGTATATGAGTGGGGAGAGAGAATATCAAGTAGGCTCTCAAGATTCTGTTATTATACCTTTTAACAATAAAGTAGAGTTCTAGTAATTCTTGTATTTGTTTCCTGATCTGGCCTATCTTGAAGGTCTTTTACCCTAGCATTTGGAAAGAGAAGTTAGCAGGCATAAGTGAGCACATTCACCAGCAAGCCATGTTTATTGCTTATATGGTCGGAACATGGCAAAAGGTACACTTGGGTATGCCACCTAGAGTCATCTGAGTAGGTGAATAAATAAAGAATACCCTCACTGAAAAAACAAACCGCTTTTTTCTGTACTGGCTTTTGCATTGCAGCTTAACTCAGGGTAGGAGAACTAGTGTCTGCAGTGCTTTGCACAAGAGGAGTAGAAGTGATATTTCCAAATATGCAAGTCTTCAGTTGGAATATTTTGTCTTTTCTTTAAAAGAGAAAAGCAAAAATGGGCATTGAAGAAATGCCATGCATATGACATACACATCCTTCAAGTGCAAGTACTTCTGCAGCGTGGGGGTCTATAATTACGCAGGATGTTGCATTTGCTCCTACTGACTGCTGCTCCATCTGGCTCCTTTTCATGTTGCCCTACAAGCTCCAGTTTCTCTTCTCTTGGAGTAACAAGTCCCCACCGCACAGCTGATGGTTAAAGTTCATCTAACTAGCTCTCATGTACTTTGGATGGTTT